TTAATGTCTGATAGAAATTAGTTCCCCTAGCCCTCTAGCTTTTCTTTTTCAGTGTTTTACAGAAATTCTTCCCTGTTTGGTTTCTTCACATGAACTTTAGTATCAATTTCTCTAGCTGCATAAAAAAGCTTCTTGGTATCTTTATTCAAACTGCCTTTAACTCATAAATTACCTTATGGAGAACTGATATATTTATAATATTGAGTTGAGTCTAGGTTTTGCTTATTTCTGTGTAAGTTTACTCCTAAGATTTTTTTTTAGAGTTGTAAAGATTTTTAAATTTCGAGATAATTGTAGATTCACGTGCAGTTTTAAAAAATAATTCAGAGATAGCCCATGAGAATACCCTGGTGGTATAATGGTTAGGACTCTGTGCCTGCATTGATGGGGGCTTGGGTTCAATTCCTGGTCAGGGAACTAAGATCCCAAAAGCCATGTGGTAAAGTCAGAACAAAACAAGCATAAACAAACTAAAACAAAGAGAGAGCCTGTGCATCATTTGCCCAGTTACCCTAATGATAACACATTAATAATACTGAACTTTCTAGTCCATGAATATCTTTCCATTTATTTTGGTCGTTTAAAAATTTCTCTTGGCAGTGTTTGTATTTGTAATATAGAGTTTGTCCATGCTTCTGTTAAATTAATTTCTAATTCTTTTTTGATGCCATTATTGATCCAGTTGTTTTAAAATTTTCTACTTTGTTGTGAGTATATAAACATATGATTGATTTTTGTATGTTAACCTTATTTCTTATTATCTTGCTGAATTTTTGAAAACATTTTCATTTATTTATTTTTGGTTGCACTGGGTCTTCTGGGCTTTCCCACTGGGCTTTCTCTCGTTGAGGCAAGTGGGGGCCACTCTTAAGTTGTGGCACTCGGGCTTCTTATTGTGATGGCTTCTCTTGTTGCAGAGCTTGGGCTCTAGGGTGCACAGGCTTATTTGCTCTATGGCATTCCTGGATCAGGGATCAAATTCATGTCCCCTGCATTGACAGGTAGATTCCTAACCACTGGACCACCAGGAAAGTCCTTGCTAAGCTTATTAATTCTAGTTGTTTTGTAGATTCTCATGAAATTCTGTGTACAATCATGTGATCAGCAAAAATATTTTTGCCTTTTCTAATCTTTTTGTGTTCTCTTCTCTTTTCCTTCCCTCACCTCTTCTAGCCTCCTGTCCTTCTCCCTTCTTATCCTTTCTTTTTCTTTTTACACTCCCTTTCCCCCCAGTACTTATATGTTAGCTCTGCATTTTGGTAGATGCCCTTGATAAAGTTGAGGAAGTGTTCTTCTATTCATAATTTTTTGAGAAATTTTAACACATATCAGTTCAGTTCAGTTCAGTCGCTCAGTCGTGTCCAACTCTTTGCAACCCCATGAACCACAGCACGCCAGACCTCCCTGTCCACCACCAACTCCCAGAGTCCACCCATACCCATGTCCATTGAGTCAGTGATGCCATCCAACCATCTCATCCTCTGTCGTCCCCTTCTCCTCCTGCCCTCAATCTTTCCCAGCATCAGGGTCTTTTCAAATGAGTCAGCTCTTTGCATCAGGTGGCCAAAGTATTGGAATTGTAGCTTCAACATCAGTTTTTCCAATGAACACCCAGGACTGATCTCCTTTAGGATGGACTGGTTGGATCTCCTTGCAGTCCAAGGGACTCTCAAGAGTCTTCTCCAGCACCACAGTTCAAAAGCATCAATTCTTCAGTGCTCAGCTTTCTTTACAGTCCAACTCTCACATCCATACATGACCATTGGAAAAATCATTGCCGGACTGGATGGCTTGACTAAATGGACCTTTGTTGGCAAAGTAATGTCTCTGCTTTTTAATATTCTGTCTAGGTTGGTCATAACTTTCCTTCCAAATAGTAAGCGTCTTTTAATTTCATGGCTGCAGTCATCATCTGCAGTGATTTTGGAGCCCAGAAAAATAAAGTCAGCCACTGTTTCCACTGTTTCCCCATATTTGCCATGAAGTGATGGTACCAGATGCCATGATCTTAGTTCTCTGAATGTTGAGCTTTAAGCCAACTTTTTCACTCTCCTCTTTCACTTTCATCAAGAGGCTCTTTAGTTCTTCTTCACTTTCTGCCATAAAGGTGGTGTCATCTGCATATCTGAGGTTATTGATATTTCTCCCGGCAATCTTGATTCCAGCTTGTGCTTCATCCAGCCCAGCGTTTCTCATGATGTACTCTGCATATAAGTTAAATAAGCAGGGTGACAGTATATAGCCTTGAAGTACTCCTTTTCCTATTTGGAACCAGTCTGTTGTTCCATGTCCAGTTATAAGTATTGCTTCCTGACCTGCATACAGGTTTCTCAAGGCAGGTCAGGTGGTCTGGTATTCCTATCTCTTTCAGGATTTTCCATACTTTATTGTGATCCACACAATAAAAGGCTTTAGCATAGTCAATAAAGCAGAAATAGATGTTTTTATGGAACTCTCTTGCTTTTCGATTTGGCATGTATTGCTATTGCCAAATCACTTCAGTTGTGTCCGACTCTGTGTGACCCCATCCCTGGGATTCTCCAGGCAAGAAAACTGGAGTGGGTTGCCATTTCCTTCTCCAGTGCATAAAAATGAAAAGTGAAAGTGAAGTCGCTCAGTCATGTCTGACTCTTCACGACCCCATGGACTGCAGCCTACCAGGCTCCTCCGTCCATGGGATTTTCCCGGCAAGAGTACTGGAGTGGGGTGCCATTGCCTTCTCCTTTAACATATATAGGTGTTGAATTTTGTCTTTTCTGCATTTCTTGGAATTATTATATGGTTATTTTCCTTTGTTTTGCCCACTTGGTGAATTGCATTGATTGATTTTAAAATATGAAAACAACCCTGCATTCTTGGACTAAACTTCATTTAGTCACGATAAGTTATTCTTTTTACATGTTGGAATCGGTTTGCTATTATTTTGCTGTGGATGCTTGTTTACATGAAGGCTCTTACTCCCCTTCTTTTTTCCTTCCCTTCCTCCAGTATCATCACTGGGTGTGGGTATTACAGTTACGCTGGCCTCATAAAACAAATGGGGATGCGTTTTCTGAAAGGTTTTTGGAAGACTGATGTTTTATCTTCCATGAATATTTGGTAGGATTTTCAAGTAAAAGTATCCAGGCCCGCTCTTTAGAGTTATATGCTGGGTTTTTGGTGTACTTACTCTGTCTTATTCTTAAACTCTATAAATGAAATATTATAGTTAATGTATGCAAACAATATTTAAAATCACTTGCTTGGTTACTATATCCTTGTTTCTCTTTCATTCTGTGTCTCCAATCTTCTAGTTTGTTTTATTGAACTTTTCAATTACAAAATTTCAGAAAATTTTTAAAGATGCCTTTTATAATAATAAAAGGTGGCAATCCTTGCTTTCATTCACATGAAAAAGCCTTTTGCTCAGCGTTCTGTTGATGTAGGATAGTTTTGTCCGATCTGAATTTTAAGTTGAGGTTATTTTCTTTCAACTTTTTAAGTATAGCCAAATCTTAGGATGTTCTAGCTTCTATTATTGCTTTTGAGAAGTGTTTTGCTTCTTTAATTGTTCCTATTAGGTGAATTATCTTTTCTGTTTGTGTGATTTTAAAATCTTTGTCTCTTGGACAAAAGCACAGTTTGGCTTTAGTATATGTAATTGTGGATTTCTTTTTAATTATCCTCGATAGGAATAATTTCTCTGTCTATATTCATGTGTGTTTTCAGTTTTGGAAAATTGTCAGCTTTAGTTCTGAAGCGACTTAGCAGCAGCAGCAGCGGCGGCAGCAGCTCTTCAAATGTCTTCTTCCATCTGTCACTCTTTGCTGGGTCTCTGGGTGCCCATATTTAAACCTTATTATTCTGTCTTTTATGTTTCTTTTCTTTTCTTTCAAATTTTTCTGTCTTCCTGACTTTTATCCTTCATTTTGGATAATTATTTTAGATTTGTCTTCCAGTTTTCAAATTCTCTTTTTATTTTCCAGATCTAGTACTTGCCCTTTTGTTCATATTTGTCCTCAGATTGTCCTCTTCTTTCCCCTTTTCTACATTGCTCTATTTTGTTTACCTTTACTCCTCTGAGTTCAGCTTCCTGTTTGGTTATTAATCTTTTGGTAAATAATCTTTTTTTCTTGTGATGCAAGCACTGCTTTAAAATATAGTTCTTCTTTAAAAAAATTATTTATTTTTAGTTGGAGGACAATAACCATCGACTTTTAGCAGGAGTTCACTCGAGATAACTAGATAACTGTTTTGTTCATGGTAGTAACTTAGTATTTCTTAATACATTAGCAGTTGTATTCTTATTGGTTAACTTGGGTTATCTAAAGATCTCATTTATGTAGCTTATTTCTGTGTCTGTTAATGTGCCGCAAGCATAATAGATAGAAACCATTTGTGGAAGGATTTTCATACCCTTTTAGTTAACATAGTGTTGGTGATATATATTTAGGATTATAGACTTTTTTTAATAGAGTTCATATGCTAGTATATTTCATATTTGCTTTTGTTGTCTAAATATATATACATGATTTAGTTATTTTGGTTTTCTAATATATCAAACTATTTAGTATATACATGTTGACTAACCCTTAACCTAATAATAAATACTAATTTAAATACCTATTCTATACAATTTAGCACTGTTCCTGTTACTTAAAATGTATAGGGCTGCACTAAAATGCTGAAAAGTAATTAGTTTCTTTTTGGTAATTGTTTCCTAACAATTGATGCATGTTCAAATTCTTAAAATTCTAAGTTTGGCACTTATAATGGATTCTGTCTTCATTAATTTGGAGAGTTGAAAGATGCTTCTCATTTTATTCTTATAAAATTGGCCTGTTTTCCCTTTAAAATAAGAATTGGAAAATATGATCTTAATAACTACAGGATTTTGCCATTTGTAATTATTTTAATCTGAACTTTTGAAATTAAATATTCAAGCATCTGGATTTTCTCTGTGGAAAATATAGTATGCTTTGTTCAGAATTACAAGTGTCTTTTTCTTGTTATCACCTTAGACAAAGAAACAGCCCTGGTATAACAGCACATTAGCCTCAAGACGAAAAAGACTCACTGCTCATTTTGAAGACTTAGAGCAATGTTACTTTTCTACAAGGATGTCTCGTATCTCAGGTACATATTCAAGAATTCTTAAAATATCTCAAATTCATGTTTCCTGTCCATGTCTAGCTTCTGAGGCTGGATTTATGAAAAGTCCTATTCATAAAGCAAAATTGTCTATTTTCAACATAGTCTAGCACAGCATTTTATAGGTTCTTAGACATCTTGGATGACATTGCTTTTCTATAACGATTTTTGTTGTCTTTCTCTATTTGGGAATTTTTAATCTGTACATACTGAGCTGTATAAAATTAAAAACAAATCAGCCATGAATATGTAGCTAGCAAAAATAAATTCCATTCAGTTGCCTTCTATTTTTCATTGTTTGTTAAGTTCTAAGCACTATCATCTGTGCTAAGAATAAAAAGATGAAAGAACTTGTTTTACTCTCAGGGAATATTGTAAATTTAGTGAAGGGGAGCAACAGGTAAATAATGCTGCATTGTATTATATGTTATATAAATATACCAAGGGCATTAACCGAACATATAAGAATATCAACTAACATAACTGGGGGTGAAAAAGCCATGCCAAGTTGAAAATGGGGAAATATAAGAGAAAGATTCCTGTAGGGATTTCAGAGAAGTTGTATTTAGTCAAAGCTAGTATTAATTAACAAATAAAGGATAATAAAAACATATTCAAAGTAGAGGAAATAACTTATGCGAAGACTTGTATACAATAGGACAGAATAGTTTTATTGCTATAGGACAGTTCTGTGCCCTTTTGTTAGTTCTCTCATCTTTAGCCTTTCTTGGTGTCTCTGCTCTCCATTGAGGAAGGGACATTGATACCAACCCTGCACGGTTTTTGTCTTTTTTTTCCTTTTTTTTATGGTTTATAGATGATGCATATAAAATACAGTGCTTTGTATAAGATTCTTAATTAGTTGATGTTATTTTTAATACACTTGCTCAAAATGAGCATTACCAAAGAAAGAAACGTATGATATTTTATTAGTTGTTAAAAAACTTGGCCTTGAATCTCTCTTGAATAAGCATGGTTGTATTATAATCTACACATTATAGAGAGAGAACCTTTGGACACATTTGCCTCAGGTTTAGATGGTGGAGAAAAGCAAAATACATAGATTCACATGGCATTTTTCCTGTGAAGACTAGAAGAAAGCCAAGCTTTGTTTATAAGTGTGTTTGAAGTTAATAGTCAACAGTCAATAGTTTTCATTCAGATGGAAAGCTTTCTTTGTATTGTCTGAGAATTAGGCCCCTTATTAAACTTCTATAATAATCTATAAACTATAGTATGAAGCTGTAACTTTGAAAGTGGTCTGAGACTTACATTCTGACTAGCAGAGGGTGCATGTTAAGCCTTTCAGATTTTATTTGTTGGTATGATGTTGAAATACAACCACAGGTAAATGACAGACATTAAAAGGAGAGAGAGATAGTAGAGAGAGATTGGAAAAGGCTATTGATTCATAATTTTTAAGTAACTATAACATAGGCATGCTATGGGATAGTAAAGGTAATCACAAACCAATTTATTTTGGTGATATAGCTTTATAGGAAGATAGACTAGTAAGTTAAAACCAGGAGGAAGATTAATTTATTTTTATACTTAATAGATATGGTTATATTGTACTCAACACATGGTTGTCTTAGTTTTTAGGAATCTCAAATTTAACTTATCAAATTTGTACACTGACTACACATATTGCTAAATATGAAGTTCCTCCTAGTTTTCTTGGCTGTAAAGAACTTGAAACTTCTTTGTAATGGGTACCTAAGAGTTTGATTGTCCTTTTGTCTTTTTTCAATTGAGAACCAACTCCCCATCCTTGCTCCTGTTTTCATCTATGAAAATGAGAGATAACTAAGAAATTAATAAATATCTTGAATTCTTAATTGTAATTGAAAAAGAAGCTAAATTATAAAGCAATAGAAGACAGAAAAGAGACACCGAATACACTTTTACAGAATAATCTGTAGTTAGAATAGGAGAGGTGATTTGCCGGAAGATATGTATGGATGTTGATCAAAAAACAGCCAAGCAAACAGAATCCTACCTTTTCACAACTAGATAAGTGAAATCCCTATGCTTTCAGATACTGAAATAATTGTTTTAAAATTTAATTTTTTTTAATAACTTCTGTTGAAAGTTGGTATTAAACTATTGGGTATGATGGCCAGAAGTTCAGCTACCTTAGAAAAAGATTATAATCTTCTACAGAATGTACATTTTTGAATGCTTGTGAATTTTATGTACTTAGAGATTGATGTCAAAATGTTGAAAGAATAGGTTAACATTAAACTGATTTTTAAATGGCTATCTAAAGTAACTGTCTTTTCAGTATTTGTTATATTTGTTATTTTAAGTAGCTCACAGTAATAGGGTTGTCTTAATTTATAAAAAGAACCAGTTAGCTATTGTATCCAGACTACTTTGTAGTACAATTGATATCTTCCCCCCTCTGCCTTTTTTTCCCTGTAATAACTTATGTTTTATTTATAATTTGTTGAACTTCCTGAGAATAATTTTTGTCAGCTAAGAGCTTTAGCCCAATGACATTTTGATATTGCATGCTAAGAAGGTTTATTCTTTTTGCTTTTCCCAGAATGGAAACACTACAAAATTGATCCCTTTTAATGTAGGTCATTAGATGACTGTGTTAAGTTAGCTTTTAAATCTTTAAAATTTAAAATATTGTGGACAGAAGCTTACTTAGTGTCCTCAGTTGTTTTCCTTTATGATAATTGTTAGTTAGATAAATTTCTTCATGTCAACAATTTAAGATAACTGGAAATCTCCAGATAAATAAATTCTTAATTATATATCACATAGTATAGTAAAAGTAAAATAATTCTTTTGACTTAATGGTTCTTATAGTGTAATTTCTTTTAGCCTACTGTTATTTTCAGAGAACATTTGAGAAGGAAAATTGCAAAACTTTAAAAAGTTGTGTGTGTGTTTATGTATGTATATGAGCTAAGAATAAGGAATAAGGAGGAAGTTATGAAAAAGACATTGTTGTAACAGACTTATTTCAAGTTTCAATATAGGAGGCTAACTAACATAATTGTGTGCTTTACTTTTCTTTGGGAAGGAAAATGCAAGTCCAACCTTTAAGCAGTTTTAGAAAACAATGTTTTTTATTTATGCTTTTCCATTGTAGGCCTGTTTCTACATTGGAGAGTAGGTTAGCTCTCTTCATTAGAAGAGTAGATTGGATCTTTCATAACTTGACTTAGTGATTTAACTTCTACATCATTTAATTATGAATAGTTTACTGAAATGGATTTTACTCAAAGTATTTGTAAAGAGTTTTGTTGGATAGAATTACTGTTTTCCATGTTCCACCAAGATATTTGCATGAACCTATTTTAAGTTTGACTTTGAAAATTAATGATTAATAATTGCAGTTTTTTACTTCCATCCCATAATTGGTTTTGAAACACTTCAAAGTATTATGTGAATAAATATTTCACTTGCTTTTTATTTAAAAATTCATTTTTTAATCTAAATTGTGTTGTTATAAACTGTGTTTTGACGAGTAAACAGGAGCATGATAATGTATCCCTCTAAATATGTTCCTTCAAACTAACAAAACTCTCACTTTCTCCATTGATAAGGGATTTTTTATTTTAATAAATTATTTAACTTTTCTTGATCATTGGTACTTTTTTTCCTTTGTTTTGCAAGAAATGATTGCTTAAAAAAAAAGAGAATTCATAGTATGTTCTTATTGGTGTTCAAAGAAACAGGGTCTTTCAAGAACCACTAAGAAATTTTTATGAAAGCTGAAAGATCAGCTAATTAATTTGTGTACATTAGTCCTCTCTAAATTAGAGTTGTTGTTTATATTTAGAATATAATTGTTAATCTGTGGTTATTGCTCTTTGACTTACGTTGCAGTTCAATTTGTTTACTTTGTTTTCTTCATATAGATGACAGTCGAACTTCAAGCCAGTTGGATGAATTTCAGGAATGCTTGTCCAAGTTTACTCGATATAATTCAGTACGACCTTTGGCTACATTGTCATATGCTAGTGATCTCTATAATGGTTCCAGCATAGTTTCTAGGTAAGTATTGGGCAGCATTCTTTACTATTTTCTTTTGCAGAAGTATCTAGAATTTAACTGAATTTGAGAAGCAAGAGTGTTATGGTTAAGAGCCTGTGTTCTGAAATCCAGGTTGCCTGCCAATTTTTATCTCTGTTGTCTTCGGCAAGTTTCTGAATCTCTTTAGTTCTTGATTTATCTGTAAAATGGGATGTTTGTTAGTATCCACCTCATAGGGCTACAGTTTGTTTTCTTATAATTCTTTTGTCTGGTTTTGATAACAAGGTATAATCTTATATATTATAAGCTTATAATTATTATATTCTTATATAAGAATTCTTATATTCTTAAGATATAAGAATTAAAATAAATATAAGAATATAAGAATTCTTAAATTCTTACAAGAATATTGTTCTTATAGTCTTACTATAATTTATCTTATAGTTCTTATATAAGCTTATATCCTTATAAGAATATATAAGAATATACATATATATATATATTTCTCCTTTTCAGTTTTTTAGAAAAATTTGTAAAGAATTAGTATTATTTCTTCTTTACATATTTTGTGCAGTTCTCCATTGAAGCTGTCTTGGTCTTGAGTTTTCTATGAGGGAAGATTTTTAAATACAAATCTAATTTTTAAAAGAGATTTAAGGCTAATCAAGTTATCCATTTCTTTTTGATTGAACATTAGTTTGTGCCTTTCAAGAAATTTGTCCATTTCATCTAGGTTGTTTAATTTATTGGTATACTAATATTCATAGTATTCTTTTATTATCCTCTTAATATCTTTATATTCTGTAATGATTTTCCCTTTTCCATCCTTGGTTTTAGAAATTTGTTTCTTTTTTTTCCCCAACTTAATAGTCTGGCTTAGAAATTTTTATCTTCTCAAAAGAGCCAGCTCCTGGTTTATTGATACTCTCTATTTTTCTGTTCTCTGTTTCATTGATTTCTACTCTTAACTTTATTATTTCCCATTTTCTTCTTTCTCTTATCTTTCTAGTCTCTTAAGGTAGAAACTGAAGTGACTGAGTTGGAACATTTCTTCTTTTCTAATATAATTTGTGTTGTAAATTTATATTTTATGTGGTATCTTTTTTTTTTCCCAAAATTCTTTTATTCTGGGAAAATACACAGGACATAAAATTTACCACCTTAACAAGTGGGACTATTCACTGGTATTAAATACGTTCATAATACTGTGCACCTATCATCACTGTCTGTCTGCTTAACACTTGACATCTTGTAAAACTGAAACTCAGTACCAATTAAACAATAACTCATTGTTTTTTCCATGCCCCCCCCCCCCCCCACCCTCCCCAGTCCTGGCAAGCACCATTCTACTTTCTTTGTCTGATTTTGATTACTTCAAGTATCTCATATAAGTGGAATGGTGCAATACGTTTCTTTTTGTGACTGGCTTATTTCATTTAGCATAATGTCATCAGTGTACATCCATGTTACAGAATTTCCTTTTTATGGATGAATAACATACTGTTGTGTATATATATACATAACCACATTTTGGTTATCTGTCTGTCAATGAATGCTTGTGTTGCTTCCATGTTTTAACTACTGTTGAGATGCTACTATGAACATGGGTGTAAAAATGTTTCTTTGAGACCTTGCATGCAGTTCTTTTGTGTATATACTCAGAAATGGAATTGCTGGATCACATGGTAATTTTGTTTTTAATTTTTTGAAGAACTGCCATACTGTTTTCTACTAGGGCTATACCACTTAGTATTTTCACCAGCCGTGCATAAGGGTTCCAATTTCTCCACATCCTTGCTAGGACTTGTTTTCTGTTTTTTTGATCATAACTATTTATTGGGTGTGAGGTTAGATTTGATTGGTTAGATTTGATTTGAATTCCCTAATGATTAGTGATGGTCTTTTCATATGCCTACTAGTCATTCTTGCCTGGAAAATCACACAGACAGAGGAGCCTATTAGGCTACAGTCCATGGGGCTGCAAAGAGTTGGACAAGACTGAGCTACTTCATTTTCACTAGTCATTTGTATATCTTCTTTGAGGAAATGTCTGTTCAAGTCCTTCTTCCATTTTTGAACTGAATTTGTTTTCTTGTTGTTGAGTTTCAGGAATTTCCGATACATTCTGAATATTTTTTAATTAAAGGAAAATTGCTTTCCAGGGTTGTGTTGGTTTCTGCTGTAGAGCAGCACAGATCAGCCTAATCTGAATATTAATCCTTTATCAGATTTGTAAATACTTTTTCTCATTCTGTGAGTTGCCTTTCTACTCTGTTGATACACATAATTTAAAAAATTTTACGGTCTTATTTGTCATGTATTTTTTCTTTTCTGTTGCTTGTGCCTGTGGTGGCATACAAGAAATCATTGCCAATCTAAAGCTATAAAAAGAGTTTTATGGTTTTAGATTTCAGTTTTTGATCCATTTTGAGTTAATTTTTATATGTAGTTTTAAGGAAGGATCTAAATTCATTCTTTTGCATGTGAATATCTAGTTTTCTCAGGATCATATGTTGAAAAAATTGTCCTTTCTCCATTGAATGGGCTTGGTACTCTTGTTAAAAATCCTTTGATCATATATGCAGAAGTTTATTTCTATATTCTCTCTTCTATTTCACTAGTGTATATGTCTGTTTTTATCTATGTTTTTTGACTCCTATAGACTTGCAGTAAGTTTTGAAATCAGGAAGTGTGAGTTCTCTAACTACTTCAGGTCCTTTGGAAATCCATGTAAATTTTAGGATGGGTTTTTATATATCTAAAAAAAAGTTACTGGGATTTTCATAGGAATTGCATTAAATCTGTACATCACTTTGGCTAGTATTGACATCATAACGATAATTTGACCTTCCTGTCCATGAACATGGGATGTGTTTTCGTTTGTCTTTTTTTCATTTCTTGCAGCAGTGTTTATTAGTTATATTGTACAAGTCATCACCTTTGTTAATTGCTAAATATTTTTTTGATGCTGGTGTTTTCTTATTAGATTGTTCATTGTAACTGCATCAAAGATATGATATTTTTTATTTTTACTCAGTTCAAAAGACATTTTAATTTCAAACTTGATTTTATTTTGACTCATGGATTATTGAGACTTACTAGTTTTCAAATATTGGGTTTTTCTAGTTATCTTTTTGTTATTAATTTATATTATTTTTTCTTAATCATCTTGATGACCATTCTTTAAATTTTTTTTAGTGAAAGTTTCTAATATACATAAGATGGGAGAGAATGGAATCCTTTTTAACAGTCATCTCCCAGACTCATCAGTGATCCTAATTTTGCTATACTTGCTTTGTTTATACTCTTTATTCTTACTCTCTTGGCTTAAATATTTTGAAGCAGATGCCAGGTATCTTGTCATTTCAACCATACATTCCTAAGAATCTCTTATGTCTTAAAATATGGACATTATATAACTACAAGGCTGTATCTCATCTAACACAATTAGCAGTAGTCCCTTGGAAGCATCAAATTGCTACTGTATGTTCAAATTTTCTTGATAGAATAGAGAAGCCTTAAAAAAGATATTTTTGATTCAGTTCAGGAAATTGACAAGTTTTAACTTTTTAGAAATTAGTAAAACTACATATGCTTTTTCATTTACATGACTAAGATTTTTATTTATGTAATTAATATTCATCTTGAAATTCAGGCCATTAGCTAAAAAGACCATTACATTAAATCTTACTATATTCAAGCTTGTTTAACTTGGTAACAAATAAGACAAAAATCATACATTTATTTATTTTTCTGTAGGTTGAAAATAGAAGCATTCCTAATCATGCCCTGGAATGATTAAAGTTTAAAAATGCAGAAGTTTATGGGTTTCGCTTAACTAATTAAAGTAGTAATTAACCTATTTAGCAAAAATTCATTGACCACCTAGTGTAGGCAAGGCTAGGCATATAGCCATGAACAGGTCAGCTTTAATGCTTGGATTCAGGAGAACTCTCAGTTTTATTTCAGTGCTTGTATACAATAAATCTTATTGACCTGCTATGTATACATTTACCTATAATTATATGGCTCCAACTGAAATGTAATGCAGGTTAAAAATCTGTTGTAATATTGATTAGTGTCTCAGACCATCATGAATTCATCCTGAATTATATTTTCTTCTCCATTTAAAAATGAACAAAAAACCAAAAGCAAAATAAAAATTGCCTTCTTAACTTCATATTACAAAAGCGGCATTTCTAGTTAGAAAATGTAGGATTGGTTATGCACTTCTGCATGCATGCATGCTAAGTCACTTCGGTTGTGTCCAACTCTTTGTGACCTTATGGATTATATAGCCCGCCAGGCTTCTCTGTCCACAGGATTCTCCAGGCAAGAATGCTGGTGGGGATTGCCCTGCCTTCAGGCCATCTTGGGCATCTTCCCGACCCAGGGATCGAACCTGCATAGGTCTTCAAAAAAGAATAAGAGCTATTCTTTTTTCATCATTCCTGAAAGCCATTTTAGCTTGATTTAATGTAATTCTGTTTTTTAAAAAAATAAGTAAACCCCCAGAGGGATCGGGTGGAGAGGGAGGTGGGAGGGGGGGACAGGATGGGGAATACATGTAAATCCATGGCTAATTCATTTCAATGTATGACAAAAAAAAAAAGTAATAATTTCTTAAACTTTAAAGAAACTAATAATACTAAAAAAAAAAGTAAACCTTAATCATAGAAAGACACTGTATCAGAACGCTGTGTTTTCTGAGGCAGACATATACTATCATAGGAAAATTTAAGATTTCACTTTGGAAATATCTCACTTACTGAAAGTGAGATTAGTTGTATCAGAATATTTCAGTCAAAATATTTCAAGCAAAAAGCTTAAAGGTACCTTTAATTGTTTCATCTTGGATGTAAACGTCCATTTTTTTCTCTTATTTACATTGAATTAATGTTTTTGAAGGAAAAATTTCCAGTTTTAAAAGTGCATAAGCAGAACTGATGAAGACTATATATACAGTCCATACAAGAAGCATACAACCCATACAAAGAAACATACAATCCACAGTATTCAAG